AGTTTTCACTTTTTATTGTTACACTTGGAACTGAAGTGACCCATTGCTTATTTTGAGAGAGATTGTAGATCCAAGTGTTAAAATTAAAAGAACAAAGCTTCTAAGAAAAAACAGAAGATAAAATTCTTTGGCATCTTGGCAAAGATTTCTTAATCAGGTCTCAAAATTGATAAAAATAAATTAATAAAATAACTGAACTTATAAACATTTTTAAAAATACTTTTCCTGATCCAGGAGAGAACTGACTAAGAGTGTGAAGCCTTTTAAAGTCTGATAAGAAACATTTGCAATTTATCCTCTCTGAAGCCTGCTACCTGAAAGCTTCATCTGCATGATAAGAATCTTGTTCTCCACACCACCCGTTATCTAAGCCCAGACCCTCCTTTCTATGGATACTTGGTCTATAGATAAACTCTTTCAACCAATTGCCAATCAGACAACCTTTGAATCCGCCTGTGACCTGGAAGCTTCCACTTTGAGTGGTCCCACCTCTCTGGATAACTGATGTCTTCTGTCTCCCTGGAATGTATAAAACCAAGCGGCGGCCTGACCACCATGGGCACGTGTTCTTAGGACCTCCTGAGGTTGGATCACAGGCATGTCATTAACCTTGGCAAAATAGGCTTCTAAATGGATCGAGTCTTGTCTCAGATACTTTTTGGTTTACAGTGTGAAATACACTATGCCTCCATTACACTCATTATCATGGGATAACACCTAGAAAAAATTAAAAACAAATCAACAAAAACAGTAAAGAACTTGGTACCATCTATTCTTCTTCTGCCCTAGTATTTGTGGCTGGGTCAGAAACAAACTAGACAGGACCCTGAGGGAGGGATATTTTTCTGACATCTGTAGGTAGGATCAGGCTTCTAGTGTTGCAGGAGTGGCCACGGGAAACAGATCTGTTGGACACCGAATACTGGAGGAAGGAGTTTATTTGCCTGGGAGCCAGGTGGCATATTTGCCTAATATCCAAGCTCGCCTAACAAAGGAAGGTTCCTTCTTTATATAGGCTTATACTTTAGATGTGACACGTGGAAGAATCTTAGGTTTATAGCTTAACATATGAAAAGGGTCTCTGTTCACAGTCTTAGGAATTACATATGAAAAGGGTCTCTGTTTACAGTCTTAGGAATTACATCTGAAAGGGGGAAGTTTAAGGTATTAGGAATGAAAAGGGGAAGTTGATCTGAGATGCCTGGGTCTCCCTCTTCACTAGGGCTGCAGAGGGAAGCGTTTCAATAAGACGAGGAAAGAGCAGTGATCATGACCTTCACGGGTCCTCTATAGCAGACTGTCTGGGCTGCGGTGCCCCGGCACATTTCCGTGCAGAGAAAGGACAGCAGTAGTGGGCTTCCTGATGTCCTTTCTGTTTTCTCTGAGGCCAGGAGGTGACAGGGTGACCTTTACGCCCCCTGGTCGTGGTCCGGGCCGCACACAGCCTCATGGCCGTCTGGTTTCCCAGGCGGCATGCAGGAGAATGCTTCGGTAGAACTTCGTTACTCCATAAAGCCTCCTGGTTCTCTAGTCCCTGGTAGTCTGTTCTGGTTGCCAGGTGCTTGTTTGCATTCCAAGCTCCACATTCCCCAGGGTCCAGTGTGGTCTTGTGTCTAATCTGGGTTCTGGCCACCAGAGGCAGGTGTGCAGGGCCTTGGCTACTGTGGCAGGTCTGCTGATGGCCACAAGCCTTTACTCACAGCTCTGCCTTAGCAGTGGTGATGTCTGAAGGCTCAGGGAATACACAGGTCCTCTAGGTTCCTGGGGAGATGATGGTCAGTAAGCCTTCTTAATAGTCTTTTAAAAATGCATAATTTAACATGGACAAAGCAAGCAATCAAAAGACTATCTGGCAAGGTGAAAACATTGTAAAATTCTTAACAAGTTTAGTTAGATTATAAACCCAGAAAAGCCTTGAGCTTCCTTTCAGATAGGTCAGCTCTCTGAGTGAGTTAGGTACACTGGGTTTGCCATCAGTTAATACTAATCTGAACAGGTCTATCTCTCTCTGTGCAATGATAAAAGAGGCCTTGCTGAAAACAAGTCAAAGGAAGCCCCTCTCCATGGTGAAGCGTGTATATGGGTCACTTACAAAGTTAGATATGATTTCTATAAGATGATGTCCGGCCTAAGTCACTTGAGTGAAAGCAGCTTATAGGCCTGGCAGAAGAATAATTTACAACCTATGAAAGCACTTTCTGGTCTTTAAAAACATCTGAAATTTGTTTTACAAAGAATTTGAAGGCTGGAAAGAAAGGGAGAAGGACTTGAATACACAGAAGAAATTATTGGAACTCTAATGAATATAAAACACAAATCCTAAATGATAAATTTAGTTTAAGTGTCTGATGGAAAGCTTTTTGAATATCACATATCTACCAGCCAATGGAAGATAATGTAGAAGGTGGAAATCTGAAGTTAAATATAAAGAGTGAATTATAAAATGAAGACCACATTGTCCATTAGGCAAAGTCCCTTTTGAGAAACCTATTTGTACTTCTAAGGTAAATCCTTTCTCCTAGAGGAAAAAAAAACAAAACAAAACTAGAAGACAGATAGTAAACCAAAAAAGAAAAAGAAAAATCAAATAAATTTCTTAGAACTTAAATTGAAAATATCCTATGGAAGAAAGGATCTTTCCATTTAGAAAATGCTCAAGAAGAGAGTGAGAAAGCTTCCACAGAAATTTAAAATCCCATTCGAACTTTTTCAATAACAGATACATCAGGTATGGATTTACCATTTAACATTGGAGAAGAAACAGTTTGAAGTAAAAGGAAGCATCAACCAGCCCCCTTCTAAGCTGGACACATAGAGAAAAGAACAAGGGAATTGAGTCAGAATTAGAAAGAGGCACTTTGATTTTATCCAAACCAGTTTGTGTCCTCTAAGGAAGAAAGCTTGCCATAACTAATTAGCAGTTCTGGCTGCTGGAGAAACCTCAATGCTTTGAGAAAAGAAAATGCCCAGGAAAACCACAAGTTAGCTGGAGTTGCATCAAATGTGAGCTTTTATGAAGAGGCTCCTTACATCCCTGCAATCCCCAGTACAGCTCTGGGAGAGCTTTCAGAGGGCACAGTGGCCCACCGATACCCAGATCCAGGGAAGGGAAAGAGAACCAGCAACAAACACATCACTAAGTTGTAAAACTGTTTTTTTCCCCCTATCTCCTATGCCAACAGTATCACCTTTAATAAAAATCTTCTGTGCTTTCTCTCTGTGGCAAGGGGAAAGCAGGAGAAAAAGATATTTAAGAGCAGGTCCTCGTGTGCACATTCTGCATAACCTAAGGATTTGGGAACGCTTCACTCATCTCTGAATTCATCCAGTTTCAACAAATCAAACCATGGAGGCAGCTCAGGGTCAATATAATTGCTGTTATTTGTGAGGTAAAGGGCATATCTAACTTCCACACAATCCATGCTGTGCTTCAGGACTCCTAGGAAAAAACAATAATTGTACAGGTCATCTCTTCCAGAGGGGGCTGGGGGCTCACTCCTCCTTTAGACTGGGTATTCTGGGTGCTGGCATAATCCGTGACCCACATTATGCCTGTGTAAGCAGGGCTAGTTAGCAAAGGGCAGTGTGAACAGCTTTTCGGTGAATGTCATACTAGGATGTTATATATACCAATAACTAAATCCCAACCATTCCAGCAAAAACACACATACAAAGTTTACAGTAAAAAAATGGAAGGCCAGGCTCAGTGGCTCACACCTATAATCCCAGCACTTTGGGAGGCTGAGGAGGGCAGACTGCCTGAGGTTAGGAGCTCGAGACCAGTCTGGCCAACATAGAGAACCCCCGAATCTACTAAAAATACAACAAAATTAGCCAGATGTGGTAGCATGCACCTGTAATCCCAGCTCCTTGGGAGGCTAAGGCAGGGGAATTGCTTGAACCAGGGAGGTATGTTGCAGTAAGTGGAGATCACAGCACTGTGCTTCAGCCTGGGCAACACAGCACAATTCCATGTCAAAAATAAAAAAAAAAGAATAAAAAAGAATAATAAAAAGAAAGAAAGAAAAGAAAAGAAAGAAAAAAAATGGAAATAAGATGGGACACGGTGGCTCATGCCTGTAATCCCAGCACTTTGGGAGGCCAATGTGGGCAAATCACCTGAGGTCGGCAGTTCGAGACCAGCCTGACCAGCATGGAGAAACCCTGTTCCTACTAAAAATGCAAAATTAGCCGGTCGTAGTGGCACATGCCTGTAATCCCAGCTACTTGGAAGGCTGACGCAAGAGAATTGCTTGAACCTGGGAGGCAGAGGTGGCAGTAAGCTGAGATCACACTATTGCACTCCAGCCTGGGCAACAAGAGCAAAACTCAGTCTCAAAAATAAAAAAATAAAATAAAAGGAGATAAAACATTTTAGACTAGTTGACTGCTGGTATACCTTGAGCCAGGTCCTCAATGTCCTCAACATCTCTTAAGGAATTTGCCTTCTTTTCCCAAATGTTCTCTCTCTCTTTCTCTCTCTCTCCTGTATTGGCCATATTCTATCTCCATCTAGTAACCAACGTGACAGTGCCATGCTTTTATTCTGCCAATGAAGCAAATCGTAGGCAGACTCCACACATACACAGGTGAAGTGGGGCTTCCAATTTCTAACCACGGTCAGCGGTCACTTCAGAAAGAGGCATGTAATTGAACACCTGCAATAAGAACTTCCACAAAAATTCTACAGGAACCACTGGGGACCACATTCTTCCCTTGGAGGACCCTTGGTTGTGTGTAGTCAGTCACACATGCATTTCTGAAGCCATCACTGTGGGAAGGGAACATTCTGAAGATCAAGGCAATTCCCAAGGATTTCCACATGAAAGGAGAGTAGTCAGATTACAATTACTCAAAGGAAATCATGGAACACAGTTAGCAGAGAAAAGGAGAAGGGAGGATGGACTGGCAGAATAACTAGGCAGGTGAACGCATGGGTACACAGAGTATAAAGGTGAACGTGTGGTGCTTCAAAAAAGTGTCCTGAGAACTGAACAGAATAGAAATTATATAAGGCTGGGCTCGGCGGCTCACAGCTGTAACTCCAGGACTTAGGGAGGCTGATGCAGGTGGATGACCTGAGGTCAGGAGTTAGAGACCAGCCTTGCAGCATGGTGAACTCCATCTATACTAAAAAAAAAAAAAAAAAAGTTGGGCTTGTTGGTGGGCACCTGTAATCCCAGCTACTCGGGAGGCTGAGGGACTTGAACCCAGGAGGCAGAGGTTGCAATGAGCTGAGATTGTGCCATTGCACTCCAGCCTGGGCTACAAGAGCAAAACTGTCTCAAAAAAAAAAAAAAAATAGAAACTACATAAAACGGAGCCATCGTGCTGGTCCAACACCACTTCACCTCAGTAAACTACACTGATGGAAATTCTCCTTCTGACCAAGATGGAGTAATCAATACTAAATTCATGCTTTCACCTGGGAAAAAAATAAAATTACATAAAATAATGGTGTTCAAGACCTTAGGCATCAGGCAGTGTAGGACAGTGATTCCTAAGAGATGGGAAATGATCAAGGTGGATCCTGCAGCTGCCCCAGTCCATTGCCTAGAGAGGCTTTTGAGTACATTGCACAGAGTGAGGACCCAGTTGAAGCCTGGTGAACTTCCTGAGCTGGTGTCATGGAGGACGGATTCTGGGGCGACTATGGCAGCTGACGTTTGCAAGCAGAGTTAACCAAGGTGAGAAAGCTGCACCTAGAAGAAACTCTTGGAGTGTACAGAGAGCCCACGTGAAGTCCTCAGCAGAATTCTGATCCACACATGCACGTGCTTTAGCCAAGGAAGAACCACCTAAAAGGGTGTGAGGGAAAAGTACTAAGAGCTCACACAGGAATGGGAACATGCAATTCCCAGTCAGAGTGGGAAGGTCACTGAAGCATTTGCAAGTCCTCCAAAGCACAAGGCTTTCTTGTGAATGGCAAGAGATGAAATTTCTTCCACCCAGTACTGAGGGTAAGCCCACCCCAGTCTCCAGCCCCCCGACCCAGGCCCAGTGGCGAGGGTCCCTCTCACCTGTCTGATGTTTTCAGATCTTTCTCAGGCTGGCTGGTGTTGCTGTGGGCTTGAGTTTAAACTGTTCACATACTCCGATTGGACATATAAAGACATAAAAGCAAACACACACAAACAACGGGAGAATTTGGGGCCTGGCTCTTACACCTGGTGAGGAAACCACAACCCATCATGTACCCTGCACACCCCAGGGAGCCTCAAAACGGTGATGGTAACATCGACTTACTTGGTGAGCGCCCCATGCCCAGTGCATCAGATGGTCTGCTAAGTGTTTTACGAGCGTAGTATTACATAAGTCTCCCTGCCTGGGCCAGCTAAATGTAAAAAGATGTGAGGATTTGAAATCGTCTCTGTATCTGGCTATACTGTCTCTATGTGATAAAACACAGAAGCACGAAAGCTCAACGAACCATGGACAGCAGCCAAAATGTGAATGAATCACCAGAGGTTGCTCAGGGAATAGACCTGTATGTCTAGAATCCAAAGGATAACAACTAAATGAAGAAAATGCAGGCTATTTACAAGGGAACTGTCACCTTTTTTCCACCCTTTCACAGACGAATTTCCCCCAAATAGCTGTTTTGTGATCAAATTAGAAATGGAACTATGTGGCCCGGTACAGTGGCTCACGCTTGTAATTCCAGCACTTTGGGAGGCCGAGGCGGGTGGATCACAAGGTCAGGAGTTCCAGACTAGCCTGTCCAATATGGTGAAACCCCTTTCTACTAAAAAATACAAAAATTATCTGGGTATGGTGGTACATGCCTGCAGTCCCAGCTACTCGGGAGGCTGAAGCAGGAGAATTGCTTGAACCCAGGAGGTGGAGGTTGCAGTGAGCCAAGATCGTGCCACTGCCCTCCAGCCTGGGCAACAGAGTGAGACTCTGTGTCAAAAAAGAAATGGAATTATGTTATTTCTTTATGTTCCATTGAGGAAACTGAGGCTGAGGAATTTGGAACGGCTCTACTGAAGGCACACAGTAAATCATTGCCAGCCCTGGATGCTAAGAACTCCTCTCCCAGGGGTTTAATTGATGAAACAGTTTTGTTAGCACTCTTGGCAGTGCTAATGACTGGGCATTTCCTCTCCTCTCTTGCTATTATTTCAACCTAATTACTACGGAAAGCATCTGTTGCTGAATGTGGCACTGTCTGCATTGCCATGATTAATTGGTTTTTATTAATTCCATTCAAAAAATTATGAAATTTGGCTTTTCCTTAGAAAACTGAAAGCTGCATGAATATGTTCCTCTCATGTTAACAATAAGACAATAAAATGACTCATCACTATAAGCACCTAACTGTAAACTGAGATCCCCATGGAAAGAGGTCAGCTAAATTTCAGTGACAAGTTCCTCTTACCGGAGCAAGACACACAAGCTTTGGAAAAGCACAGTAGGAAAAGAGGCAGCTGTAACATTAGACAAGCAAAGAAATAACATTTTAGCAAATTATTAATACATAAATTGAGCTACCATGTCAGTTGGAATTTGAATGCCTAAGAATGCCCCAGACAAAGGGCATCTGCAGATACAGAGGTGAGTAATGCCTTCCCTGTGACTGAGCAGGAATCCTGTTTGCACCCAAGACCCTATGCCTCTACGGAGGAAACTCTCTCCGCCACTAAGGACAGAGTCAGCAGTGCTGAGAAATTCCTGCCTCACTTTTACCCAGTGATTCATGCCATCTTGGTTTTCCAAACACAGCCCCAGGCAGAGACTTGGGAAGATCCCCTAGATTGTCAGAAATTAAGAAGGCAGGCCGGCTGAGCAGAATGGATCACTGAGCAATAAAACGAGATTTGCTTCCCATCTTTGTGACCCAAATCACCAGAATTTATTACCTTTTCAGGAGGTCTCTGTGTAATAAACACATGCTATTTTATACAATCTCTGTCTTTATTTTCAGTAAAGTAAGCAGGGAAAAATGACCCTTTTGGGACCGGGTTTACACGCCCTCTAACCACACAGAAGTAACATGGCCTTGGACCCTCAACCCAGGGCCCAGCCAGCTGCTACCAATCCCTAGCCTTTGCCTGGCTCAAGACTCTTGGGATTTGCCAGCCATTTCATGTTCCATTTACTGTCTAACCTTTTTCTGCAATCATCAGTTCCTCTGCTGGAGCATTTTTCTCAACCTGGACATTTGCAACACAGATATTTTCCAGCTCAGATTCTTCCAGAGATGCAGGCCTCTGCTGAGCATGACTATTCAGAAGGGCCTCTGGGGTCAGAGCATCATTGGTGCTAATTCCTCAAGGCATCCTGGTGTGCCTGCCATTTTCCAACGTGCGCTTACAATTCCTGTCAACAAAGCAGCAGAACGTATTTATTCACGCCGTGAGTTTCCGCTGAGTCATGTCACCTGTGTGGCAACAGCATGAGATGCCAGCGGCAGAGTGGCTGTGCTAAGGCCGGTTTAAGGGGCCTTGAATTTTCCACTGTGTGTTACAGACCTCTGCCATTCCTGTGCCACAACACGCCTGGGCTGACTGGTTCTAAGGGAAAGCTGACAGCCACACAAGGGCACAGCTGTTTGAAGACAAGGCACCCCAGCCAGGCCCAGCGTGGATCAGCCAGTCCCCAGCTCATCCACAAATGCACGGGCCACCGTTGATGGGTGCTTTGCCTCAGAGGTGCTGTGGCTGGTAGCAGCACTATCACGGCCACAGTTCACAAACACACATCGATTTAAACCGGCCCTGCTTGCCTTCTACCCAGCACCTCTCACTCCCGAAATACCTTTGTCATTGATGGATGTATGCACTTTTCCTCTTTTATTCTCCACTGTATCTCTGATAAGTAAAGCAACGTTTGCAACACAGGAGTTTCTGAATAGATATCTGTGAATACACGAATGAATATAATTCTCACACTAGCCCTCTGAGGTAGTATAGAAACTTCCCTAATTCCTATTTGAGAGATATAGAAACAGAGGCACAGAGCTATGATAAAGTTGTTCATTATCACATAGCCAGTAAGAGAGTTGGGATTTAAGTCAACGGATATGTTTACATCAACAGAACTCTCCAAAGCCAATCTAGACGTTCGTGCCCAGCTTCTTTTAGGTTCTCTAAGGTGCAGCTCTGACTGTAAAGTCTATCTGATATCTCTGTTATCATTGCAACGAAGTGGAACATTGTTTGTAGCTTCCCAAGAACCACTTTCTAGCAGACACCGTCCCCACCCATATATACACAGCTCTCCCTTCTCATGGAAGCTGCAATTTGTTCAGTCGGTGTTAAAGGTTTTCACCAATTAATCAAGTGGGAAAGGTCACAGAATTTACAGGAAGAAATAAATATTGTATGGGAGCCTTTTCTGAAAGCAAGAGAGAGAACAAGAGGCTGCATGTGAGTTGAGTTTATGTAACAGATACGAGGCACATGCTCAGTTAGTGATAACTGTGACAGCCATCACTCTAGGTACAGAGGTTATAGACTAAACAGCATGATGTGGGTTCTGTCTTCAAGGAGCTTATATTTTTGTACAGGGGAAAAAGTTTCTTAAATCACAAGTAAATGAATGTGGCAGAGCAGACAGGAAAACATGATAACTGAGAAAGGTACCCAGGGAATGTACATTTGAAGTCAGTGGTCAGGAATAGGGATTATTGTTTCAATGTAATAGTCCATGCACCCTTTTGGATAAGCTGCCACTGGACCAAAACTTGAGAGAGACAGGGAGTAAGTCAGTCATGTGGCTATATAGAGAAAAATACTGCTTCAGCCTTGATGGCAAAAGCAATCAGAATTACCCTTGGGCATTGCTAAAGATACTTAAAAGTGCAGGACCAGGGAGTCTCTGGGCATATCCAGTGCAGCCAATTTCTCTCCAGCGTTGGGGCTGAATGGCTGTATCTTCAGCTGATCTCCGAAGGCAGAGGGTGTCTGGTACTTCAGGGCCATGTAGTATGAAAATCCGAGGATCATGTTCAAGATGATGTGATGCTCAGAGGCAGAGACAGCGCGGGACCAAGCCAGAGGAGACAACAGGATCACCATGTGCATTTCGTGTTCATTCTGGAGCGTTTGCTCACGGTGTGGATAGTACATTTGAACCATTTAGATGGCCTTTCTTTATGCTTCCTCTGCCATTTCTCCCTTTCTCTTTTTACTTCTCTCATTCATGCATATGTATATCCTAATTTATGTCATCTCCAAGAAACCTATGCTGCTTGTAACCAAAGAGTGAAGGCATAGATTTGTGTTTGTAAAAGCCAAAACTATAAACAATGGGTTAAAGCATTAGAGAAAAGACTTCATAACAAGAGCTACACAAACGTGAACTGGATTACCCTGGAAAATGAGTTCTGTCTCTGGCAGGACACCGGGGAGCCGAATGACCCTCTGTTATGGCATGAGCCAGGGAATTTGGCTACAAATAACAGTAACAGGGTTAATGTAACTTAAACAGAAAACGAATGTATTGAAAATTAATGGGTAGTTCCCCAAATCCACTAACAGCAAAGAGGAAGCCAGCTGGAATTGCGGGAGGCTGGGCAGACCACGTAGCCGAGGAGCCCCCGCAGTTGTGAATTGGACACTGGGGCTGCCAGCTAGCTGGCTCTGTTCTCACGTCCCTGACGGCTTTGTTCTCATGTCCCTGCTTCTAGATGCCAATGTCAGGGCAGAGACTTAGTGGGTCAAGTCTATCTCTCCTTCCTTTGCCTGAGCTGGCAGAAAGCAGGAAGAAGATTTGTGGTCTCATTTGACATCTCCAAAGGGATATAAAACTTCACCCTTATCTGGAGTCAAACAGTGGGGACCAACCAGCAAAAGAAAGGCTGATTAGATACAAGGCTGTCTTCCTCTTCAAAATGGGCCATATCCCCCAACGCAAGAGCTATTCTGAATAGTGTGATTTACAGAGCTAGATAGCCTAAAAAATGTCTTTCTATGTCCAACATTTTATAAATAACAAGTGTGGTAAAATGAGAACCCATGGGAGAAATATATACAAACTTTCCAATTTTCAGGGATGACAAACTATACTGCTGTATGACACATTTAAGACTTCTGAGGTTTTATTGTAATTGGCCAGGTTCATCTAGTTTTAGCCATTATACGATTCTAGTACCCACCAGATACTTACTTAGGTTAGCATTCTACAGCTGTATGTAAAAGAGACCTTCTCAAGTCAGCAGAGCTTAAAAGGACAATTTATTATGAGAAGCAAGATGTCATGAACTACAAAAGATAAGCTGAAATGGGGGCCTCTGTCACAGGGAGCCAGAAAGCTCTCAGGGCTTTGTTTTTCTGAGATTCGTTTTTCTCTGCCCCCTTTGATTTCCCCTCTCTGTCTGTAGATCTAGTTACTTTTCATGGCAGGCAAAAAATGACATCTTTCATTTCCACATTGGAATGTTATGGTCTGGCCAGGTTGCACCTTTCTGTTGGGAGCTGCTTTATTTTGTGTTGATTACATGTTGATATCAGCCATAGCATACGTGTTTCCAATCTTGTGAATACAAAACACAGCCCATATGAGGAGGTAGTTGGCTGGCAATGAGGCACCTTGTCTAGAACATGGTGTCTACCAGGACATGCCATTTAGATTTCAAGCCACAATTAAACTTGACATCCAATTACAGTCACTATCGGTTACAAACACAGTTTTACAATAATTAACTGCCAAATTGCCAATAACAAATCCAGCTAGGTAACATAAATTTCACCTTGTTGTATACAATGATGAATTATGAAGGACAGTGAGAATCTTTAAAATCAGTTTTCATATTTCCAATAGTAGGTTATTCTTTCATGAAGAAAAGCAAAACACACCATTATCTAATCAATGAAATACATTGCTTGAGAAGGAAGAATTTATAATTTTATTACATACACATTACCCCACAATAATTCACTTATATAAATTACCTCTTTACAGCAATGCATTAGATACGTAATTTTGATTGAAGAACTTTACAAACTTGTGAACTTTAGAAAACTTCTAGCTGCACAGTTTTCAGGATTTTTGTTAGGTAGTTAGTTTGTTTTAGAGTGAGAGCTTTGATCAGGAGTGGACATTGAGGAGAGAAAAGATCACCTGGTATCCATCAAGCAGGAATTCCAGAGGCAAAACTCCTTACCTGAGAAATTCAGACGTAATTAGACTTCCCTATGATCTAAAGCAGGCATCTGGTTCCAGGCTTCTTTCCCAAAAATGTATAAGTAACTAGAATTTCTATACATCTCCAGAATGCGTAAACATCAAAACTCATTTTGCAACCCTTGATGACATCAAGGCACCAGAATGTCTAAAAATGTAATCATCTATCATGATCTACATGGCGAATGTGGTCCAAACTACCCTGAAATACCCCTAAGGAACATCCACTATGGTGCAATCAGTTCTCTCTTGCTGAGGCTCCCGTTGAACTCCTCTGCAGCATTCTTTTTTTCTAATAAAACTTTCCTTTTCATCCAGTCTATCATTGATGAGCATTTAGGTGGATTCTGTGTCTTTGCTATTGTGAATAGTGCTGCAATGAACCTGTGCATGCATGTGTCTTTATAACTGAAATATTTAGATTCCTTTGGGTGTATACCCAGTAATGGGATTGCTGGGTCAAATGGTATTTCTGTCTTTAGGTCTTTCAGGAATCACCACCATGGAATACTATGTAGCCATAAAAAAGAAAGATATCATGTCCTTTGCGGGGACATGGATGGAGCTGGAGGCCATTATCCTTAACAAACTAAGAAACCTGTATAACAAACGTGCATTGTACTCCTGAACCTAAAATAAAAGGTTTGAAAAAGTTTTTATTTTTTCAAACCTATACTGTTGTTGACAAATTCCTCTTACTAACTATGAGTCAATCACTTTTTGTTGCTGGGACTCTGACACCTCGCCCAGCATGCACCTACCCTTTATTTCCCCATATACATGTCTAAGCAGGAATTGGTGACTTAACAAATTTCAAGGAAGATTTTAGCAGAATGAGAATTTGATCAGATTCTAACTAACAGACCTATTAGTAGGTAGTCAAGATTCTCCAGAGAAACAGAAGCAGTCGGACATGGGGCAGGGAAAAGGAGAGAGAGAGAGAAAGAAAGAGAGAGTAAGATTCCAAGGAACTGGTTCACATGCTAGGGGATGGCTAAGCAAACCCGAAATCTGTAGGGCAGGCTGTCAGAAAGGGCAGGCAAGAAACTCTAAGGGCCAGGAGCCGCAGTCCTGTGGTTCTGCCAGGCTGTGGTCCACAGATAGAATTTCTTATTCTCAGGGAAACCTCTTCCTAGTCTGGCAGCAAATAACGACTCTAAATGGATTTTGTGGCCAAGGCTCCACAGGGATATAGAAAAAGTTCAGCAGATATTATTAAAAGGCATTTAATCTCTAGGCAACTCAGCTAGATGAAATGCAATGAAAGAGTCACTGCTTTTATCAGGAGAGATACATGAGGCATCTTTACCTAATAAACACCATTTGTTATATTGAAGCTTTAGGGCTGAAGCCGATGAGTTGAAACTCAAAAAAAAAAAAAAACCCTGCACGTTTAGGCCTTTCTTTTTTTCTCCTTCGGAATCTGAAGAAACTTTTCTACTTACTCTGCCTCCCCACCCCCACCCCACCTTTCTTTGGCTTTTGTGATGATCCACCCCCCAAAGAATGAGGACCACCTGTAAAGGTCATCAAAGGTCGTTTATTCAGATCTTACCAATAAGGGACGGAAAACGCTTTCATTCTGAAAGACTCTCAGGGGTTTTAAAAGAGTTTTTATAGAATCAAAGGAGCTTTAAGTTTTAAGACAGCTCTTGATTGGCGGGTATCCTTTGAGGATGAGTTTTTCTCCTAGGGTCTGCTGGAGCAGGGGAGGTTTTCTGGTGGCTTCGGGGTACGTCAGATCAGCTTTGGTTGATTTGGCTTCTACTTGTGTATATCTGGAGTCTTTAAAGGCTGGCTGGAATCATCTGTGTTTTCCCAGCTCAACTGATAGAATAATGGTCCGTGGCTTTGAGGTCCACGTTTTGCATAAACAATTCCACAGGTTATATCCTAATATCAACTAGTGTTGAAGACAGGGGAGTTGCCAAAAATAAATAAAAATATGTATATTCTGCAGAATTTGAAATGAACCCCCTTTGTTTTGATGTATTGAATCTGTTAGCCTTAAAAATAAATATCTATTGTCTTTTATATAACTATCTGATATGTGTCTATTATCTATCTATACGTTAACCCTGCAGGAATAATTCAGAGATTTGGGGAAAATAGAATATTACAGCTCTGGACTCTGTTGCATGATCAGAGAGCGGATATCACTGTGAAGGAATAATCTTTATTGCAATGAAATATTTCATTATCTGTGTTAAATAATTCTCTAGAAAAAAATATCAAACAACTTTGAATCAATACCAAGTGAATAAACTACCAAATTTACAAAATAAGTAAGTCAATATATAGGTATATACATGTTACTTATATCTTCCTGACTCTTCAGTAAGTGGCGTATATAGAGCTTTCTAAATGAATGGCATGGTGTAGAAACCACTGTGGTGTTATCAGCAGCAAAAACACCATTGTAATAGCTAATATTGAGAAGCTTCATTTTTGTGGAAAATAGTCCTACAAAAATATTCAAATGTAATTCTCACAGTTAATACAAATAACACAATAAATAATAAATAAACATATTTATTAGCCCATATGTCAGTGGTTCTCAAAAAAGGTCCAGTTGTACCTTAAGAGGCAATTTGGCATTGTCTGGAGACAATTTTGGTTGGCACCACGGGAGAGATGTCCTGGCATCCATTGGGTAGAGCCCAGGGATGCTGTTAACATGCCACAGTGCACAGCACAGCTCTCCCCAACAAAGAATTATCTGGCCCCAAATGTCAGTAGTGCTGTGGCTAAGGACTCCTGCCTTGCACTCTCCCCTTTGATCTTCCCACCCACCCCATGAGAGAGAGGGTATTATTGTAGCACAGAGAGGCATCAAGGTCACCAAACTATTTTTATCTTCTTCTTGGATCATCACCTCAACATTTCCTACTGATAAAACAGATTACTGGTCAATGAGAAGTGGGTAAAAGTGACGTTGTCACCGCTATTTTGGGTTTACAAAACCTCTCGTTCATTTCTTCCTGTTCTCTCCTTTACTCCCTTCACTGGATGGCCACAGTGATCCAGTGCAGGACCCTGAGCTGCGCATAGGAGAAGAAGCCCTAATGTGAAAGAATCCTGATCCCCTAGGTGACTGCATGGACAAGAGCCTCGTCATTGACTCAAATTAGGCTGCAGCTGAAAAACAAACCTCTTTGGGTTAAGCCAGAGTTTTGTGGTTATGTGTTGCACCACTTATCTTATTCTGGCCAACACAATTATTCTACCTATTTTTCAGATGAGAGAAAATGAGGATTGCAGAAATGATGCGTGATCAGAAGTCCAGTTCAAT